AGTTTGCTTTGAAAACCAAGAGCATGAATTTTCAACAGGGTGAGACTCCACAACAGGTAAAATTGGTTCTTACACAGTGGGGTGGGGATGTGTGTGTGTAAAGGAAATTTTAGTTTTTGATGTACAAAGCACAGAAATGGACAATCAGATATATAATATCTTTGTGGTATTACATTTTCATGGTGGGGAGTGATTAGGAAAAACATGCTTACAGAGGTTCCCTAGGGGACAATAAAAAAAAAAAAGAGGTTGAGAAAGCTAGGACCATCAATAGTGAGCAGCGAAGGCCACACGGTTCTCTTCTGTCCTGGAGGAGTCTCTCACTGGAGTTACAAGCCTCTGAAAAGTGAAAGTGAAAGTTGCTCGGTTGTTCCCTCCAACTCTTTGCGATCCAATGAACTGTAGCCTGCCAGGCTTCTCTGTCCATGGGATTCTCCAGGCCAGAATACTGGAGTGGGTAGCCATTCCCTTCTCCAGGGGATCTTCCCCACCCAGGAATTGAACCGGGTCTACCTACATTGCAGGTGATTCTTTACCAGCTGAGCTATAAGTCTCTATTGAGTTCAGTTCAGTTCAGTTCACTCAGTCGTGTCCAACTCTTTGTGACCCCATGGACTGCAGCACACCAGGCCTCCCTTTCCATCAACAACGCCTAGAGTTTACCCAAACTCGTCTCCATCGAGTCGGTGATGCCATCCAACCGTCTCATCCTCTGTCGTCCCCTTCTCCTCCGACCTTCCCTGGTGGCTCACATGGTAAAGTCTCTGCCTGCAACACGGGAGATCCCGGTTCGATTCCCGGGTCAGGAAGTGCCTCTGGAGAAGGAAACGGCAACCCACTCCAGTATTCTTGCCCGCAAAATTCCCTGGACAGAAGAGCCTGGCAGGCTAAAGTCCATGGGGGTCACAAAAGAATTGGACACGACTGAGCGACTGAAAATCAGCATTACTTTCTGTACCAAGACTCTGTACTGAATAAAAGTATACATTTCGCTGACTTCCTCTCCTCATGAGGTCCCCACATTTGCTACAGCCCTGACTGTTGAGATGTGACCTCTTTACCAGCTGAGGGAGGGAGCCATCCCAGAGGGCTTTGTAGGTGAGGCTCCGTGGAGAGGGGAGTCCACCTTCTTTCCTTCTTGGTGGTGTATCATCCCTTGTTGAATGAGTGTCATTGTCAAATCTGACTCTCCAGGAGTGGTCAGGTTGCAAAAGCTATTTGTCCAATCCTATCCTCATTCATGGAGAAGGAAATGGCAACCCACTCCAGTACTCTTGCCTAGAAAGTCCCATGGAAGGAGGAGCCTGGTGCAGGCTACTGTCCATGGGGTCGCAAAGAGTCAGACACGACTGAGTGATTCGTCTTCTATCCTCATTCAGGTCACTTAAAATGGTGACCAGAGCTATGCAGGAAGCAAAATAGAGCATGTTGTCTTAAACTTTGCAAGAGGGTCAGCGCCAAGTCTGTGGAGGACCCTGTATGCTGACCATCTGACCTCCGCCTTGCGGAGCGAGGACAGATGCAGGCCAAGGGGGCAGGGCCGGTTGGATGACTCTGATGGGAGAGGGGAGGAGGGTGCGAGACAGGCTGGAGTTGCGGGCAGAGCTGGGGTGGTTTGAGGATGGTGTGTTCATTAACCAGCTGGAGTGTTAATCATACGACCCCCGGCAGGATCCAGGGGAACTCTCAGGATGAATGGCGTCGGCGAGAGAAGACACATAAGACTGGCCTTGATAGGGCCAAGTCTGCGAGGGAGAGAGAGAGAGAGAGAGAGAGAGAGAGAGAGAGAGAGAGAGAGAGAGAGAGAGAGAGNGCAGTTGCTTTATTTTTCACCGTCGCCTTTATACCCTAAGCTGGTACATTTCTAAGGGGCAGATAAGCACACAGACTTGGTCTAACGTTACATCAGCGTGTCCTGCACGAAGCCAGGTGTGCGCTGTATATTTTGTTTATGAGCGTCTTTCCCGTGGATTTTTGTGCATTAGCTCCTGGCCTTGAGCTCAGCAGGAAACAGAGAAGTGGCGCTCTCACGGTACAGCAAGTCACAGCATAATAGAAACACAATCCTGTTAACATAAAAGTCAGTCCTTTTGCAGAAATTCTCAGCTAAATGTATCTAAAGAGTTTAACACACAAAGGCTCTGTGGCTCTGGTGAGGCAGCCCCTGTTTAGCACTCTTGGTTAAAATTAACAATTATCTTATTGTTTTTACACTAGGGCTAAACTCTTATTTTTCAGATCTCCAACTATATTAACAATAGTTTCCACTGCACAATTCTCAGCACATTAACATCAATCAAACGTTGATCTAATAACCACTTTTAAAACAATATTTTTTTGTATTTTCTAATAGGGCTTCCTCACCCCCCAAAGGGCTCTGTGCCTATTAGGGCCTTTTTTATGGTTAATCTCTATGTATAATATCTTTTGGCTTTCAGGCCTGTTGACAATCAATGGCTTGCACCTGGTGCAACTTTAAGCAACTTCAGTAGCCGACCCTGTCTTTTTTGTGGTTAATCTATTTTCTTTCTATTAGGTGTCATCTCTATGGGAACTAGATAGGATTACATTTTTCACAGAACAGAAATGCAAAGGATTGCAAAAACAGCAGATATGGCACAAAACAGGCTCTTAGTCTAAAAGTTAGTTACCTGCAAGAAGTCACCAGCTAATCTCTATCTAAACTATATTTTATTAGGCACATTTGTGGCTATAATATTTGTGGGGCTTTTCTCACCCCGCAGAGGGGCCTATGCGTAATAGTTTCTTTTGTTAGCGTACTGTGCTTAGGATATTTAGAACAATCATGAGCATTTTGTGCAATGAGTGCACACATCTATCAAACAAGCCAGAATGCCAGCAAAAGGGTTTGAATTGAAGCATTTCCTTCATCCCTGGCCCCTTCATAGGGTACCAGCATCCAGAAGATTTATTAATTAGCTTTTAAGTTGGTCTTTATTCAGGGAAAGAGGAGCAGGAGAGCTCTCGGCAGGCAACACAAGAATCTGCAACAGGGCAAACAAGAACAACAGAAAAGGGGGGAGGATACAGGGTGGGGCAGAGGCCGAGGCCCACTTGGAGGGTCCCTTATCCTAGACGGCCTTGCCTCTCAGGTATTTTCCTCATGACCTTGTCATGGATGGGATCCTGGACGGCCTTGCCTGCCCTTTCCTTCATGACCTCGTCACGGTCGGGACCTCCCATAATGGCTCCCAACAGCATCCAATTTCAATGTATGGATTCCCCTGTCACGCAATCCCTTGACACCAGCTGGGGGTGGGGTGGGGGGAGGGTCCTACAATTGAACTCAATTCTGACACTGTCTGCCTGGAGATAGTGTCAGATTCCATGGGTTAAGGGCTCAGTCCCATTAAGGTGCCACTAGTGGGAAAGAACCTGCCTGCCAATGCAGGAGACGTTAAGAGACACGGGTTCGATCCCTGGGTTGGGAAGATCCCCTGGAGGAGGGCATGACAACCCACCCCAGTATTATTGCCTGGAGAATGCCATGGACAGAGGAGCCTGGCAGGCTATATAGTCTATACCGTCACAAGATGTCAGACACGACTGAAGTGACCCAGCACACACGCGTGCACTGGTAAGACGACCCCAGCTGGCCCTTGCTTCAGATGCCAGTGGGAAGTGTGGCCAATTGGCTATAGACCGGAGGTTCCCATGACCCCCTCCTCGAGTTTAATCAATTTGCTAGAGGGGCTCACAAAATCCAGAGAAACCTTTTACTTGCTAGATGACCAGTTCATTCTAACTCAGGAACAGCCAGATGGAAGTGATGCATAGGGTAAGGAAATGGGAAAGGGTGTGAAGTTTCCATGCCCTCTCTGGGCCTCCCATTGCCCCTAAATCTCCACGTGTTCAGCAGCCTGAAGCTCTCTGAATCCTGTCCTTTGGATTTTTATGGGGGCTTCATTATCTAGGCATAGTTGATTAAATCACTAGCCATTGGTGATTGATTCAACTTCCAGCCCCACTCTCCTCCTTGGAGGTCGAGTGGGTAGGACTGAAAGTTCCAGTCCTCTCATCAGAACATGGGCTCTCCTGCCAACCATTCCCTATCCTTCAAGTGAAAGGGAGAGTCGCTCAGTCTTGTCTGCCTCTTTGCAACCCCGTGGACTACACAGTCCACGGAATTCTCCAGGCCAGAATACTGGAGTGGGTAGCCATTCGCTTCTCCAGGGCATCTTCCCCCAGCCCAGGGATCGAGCCCAGGTCTCCCACACCCACACGGCAGGCAGATTCTTTACCTGTTGAGCCACCGGGGAAGCCCTCCCCATCCTTAGGTGTGGACCAAAAATCGTCTCATGAATACAACAACAAAAGACATCTTTGTCACTCTCTTTACTTAGGACATTCCAAGGATTTCAGGCTTCTGCACTTGGGTGAAGACCAAACACAGGTCTTATTACAAATCACAATCTCCTAGGGATTAGGGGGAGGGCCAGCAGGAGGGGGACTGCGGTGGATCTGTGGGCTCCCAGGCCCCACTGCCTGTCCCGGACCTCCCCACCCACCATACTTGTTCCCCAGATTTCCACTCAGCGCAAAGTCAACATCTACAACATCCTCCAGGAGGTCACCCAGCATGAGGGCGAACTGGAGGAGCGCTGCGTCCAGAGGCTGGTGGCCATCGCCTCCAGGGAGATGAGGGGCATGCTGGAGGTAGCGGGGGTCCTGCCCTGCCCGCCTGCCACCGCCCCAGGGGCTGGGCTCTGGGGGGCCGGTGGGATGCCCGAGGCCTCTGTCCGGTGAGCTCC